CCTATATTACCTGTTGGACCTAAAGGCACAAGGTCTGTCAATGAATTCAGTCAGAGTACACCTGGCCACCATTACAGCCTTCCACTCACCTATCAAAGGGGTTTCAGTATTTGCCAGTCTAACCATGGCAATATTCCTTACGGGTTTATAAAATGTATTCCCTCTTATCCAGAACTCTGCACCTCTACGGGACCTCAAACTAGTCCTCAATGCCTTGAGGAATGGCCCCATTTGTGCCAATGGCTACCTGCTCACTCTCCGATCTCTCCCTCAAGACTTCATTCCTGATAGCCATCAACTTAGCCAAAAGAATGGGCGATTTAAGGGTACTCATGGCAGACCTACCATACACCTTCTTCTACTGTGACCAGGGCATGCTGCGCCCCCATCCTCGATTCCTTCCTAAAGTCTGGGTGAAATTTCATATCAACCAAGAGATCCATTTACCAGTATTTTATCCTAAGCCCCATTCCTCAAGGGAGGAAGATATTCTCCACAAATTAGATGGTGAGGGCCCTCAGCATCTACCTTGACAGCACTAAGACCTTTAGGACTTCTCCCAGACTTTTTGTATCCTTTGCCAAAAGATGAATGGATGGCCAATTTCCACTCAAACTGACGTTACCCAGGGTACAATCTGGACTGATGAATAGCTGCGTCCCCTCAGTTCTCCAACCCGGGATGCCTTTTACACTGTTTTGCTGTGAGAGCTACCATTCCTGGTCTGTCTGCACACAGCCTCCAGCATGTAAGTTACTCCCAGTTATATTGTGTGAGTGCTATTGCCAGCCACTAATGAACTACACTGCAGAGCAACACAAGCAAATTCCCAGTCCCAGACTTTCCCCAGAAATGTGCATCCTGTACTGCCCAGCCCTCTCCTGGACAATACAAGCTCATATAAAATCTGTCATTTTATTAATAGAAAATGATACGCACAAATCCTGTTATACCAGATGAAGTTTCCCAAACACTTCAATCCAGACACACTGGTTTAGATAAAACAATAAAACAAGTTTATTAACAACAGAAGGATAGATTTTAAGTGATTACAAGTAATGAGGCATAAAATCAGAATTGGTTACAAGAAAATAAAAGCAAAACACAACTAATGCCCAACTTGACAAGCTAAGTGAATTAAAAGCAAAGTCTCTCTCACCATATGTTCCAACAGTCTTACTGGCTGAATTTCTTTCAGACAGGATCCCTCCCCAGTCCAAAGCTGTTTCCTTTGTTCTTCAGGTACTGTGGATGCCATGGATAGAGAGAAAGGGAGGAATAATTTGGGGCATCTCCTTTTATAGTTCTTTCTCTTCTTCGAGAATCACCACCAGCAGAGGTTCAGGAGAGAGCATGTCTGTGTGGATGGGAACCCCAAGCTGTTTCTTTGTCAAGATGTAGATTTTCACCCACATCTTCTTTCCCGTCAAAGAACGGCCATTTAACCAGTTGATGGTCTATTTGATTTTGTTGACACCTGGCTGAGACGTTGGTTAGCATTTTTTCCACTGAGGAACTGGTTTGTAGCTGCTCCCCACAGACTTGGAACATGTATTAGTAATACCATACAGAGGAATCCTATAACTTTACGTGCAATGTTGTTCCACATTTAACCAGGACAATAATGATCAGCAAATTATGAGTTTTTCAAATGATACCTCATAAGGCATACTTTGTACAAAATTTATCATAGTCCTGTAAAAGGGGTGCATATAGGGGTACAGACTGTCACAGTGGGTATCACATGGTATCTGAACTTACTATGAAACTGGTAGGATACATCACCCTCAAATTGACAGCCCACTCCACTAGGGCTCAGTCCTTCTCTATAGCCCTCCTTTAGGATGCTGCCATAGCAGAAATCTGCAGGGCTGCCTCCTGGTCCTCAGTTCACACGTTTGCCAAACATTACACGATCATACCTGCATCCAGAGGTGACACTATCTTTGGTGATGCAGTCCTCTGAACTGTCTTGAATTCGCCTCCTTGGCACATGCCTCCACATTGACATGCTGCGTGGGAGGCTCCTTTGGTGAAGCACCCATAGGGACATACACTCCAAGGAGAGGTTACTTACCTGTACAGTAACTTGAGTTCCTCAAGGTGTTTTGTCCCTCTGGGTGCTCTACCTTTCTGCCCTCCTTCCCATCTGCTGTGGAGTCTTCCAGCCACCATAGCTGAGAAGGAACTGGACAGGCCAGGGGTCCAAGCCTCCCCATATGACCTCGCCTGGGAGCATAAGGCAATCCACTGTGGGCACTGCTATTTACAATCTCCAATGGAAGGTGCACAGGCCCACACACATCCTATGGTGGAGAACTACCGGGACAAAACACCTTGAACTCAAGATACGGTACAGGTAAGTAACCTCTCCAGCTGCTGAGTTGCATTAAAGAAGAGAAGGAAGTCTTAGGAATTCTGCAGGACAGCAACAAAGACTTCTTCCCTTTAGAACTCAGGAACCTGATTCTATAGCAAATGACATTATGTACTCGGCATTTTTTAGGCAATTGCTAGAAGCTTAGCTCTACTGAAAAATTTATCCACATAGAATATAAAGGAAAGTCACTATCTTTATAATTCTGCCTCTCTGATGTTATCTTGCAGGATTCTCACATTTAGTCTTAGTCCCCTAGTGTGAGGCAAACAGAACTCTACCAACTCTGAAAGATTTTTGTGAGCATAAAAGGGCCGCCATCCCCTCTTTATAAGGGCAATGATTCTCTGCTTATGGTAATGCAACACAAAGCTTAAACACCACCCTTGAAACTTTCCAGATAATTCCTGATTTAGCAGGAAATGAAGGCTCCTGTGATATGCTAAGGATTGAATCAGAAGGAAAACCAGAAATAAGAAAGAGGTAGCAAGCTACAGAAGGAACCCTTTCACTGACCAGGTAACAGAATTGACTGGCAGGCTTCAAAAATTGCTAGAGTCAAGCTCTGTGGTCGCTACCACAGCTCTTCAGAGTTTTGTTGCTCTGAATGTAGAGTTCTGCCTGTCTCACCGCAGGGAGCTGAGACAAAACAGTCAGAATCCTGCAATAATGGTATCTTTAGGGATTTATACTCACTCTGTTTTTAGCTTTCAGGGCTCATTTATTTACGCAAATTCTAAACTTTCATTTTTTTAAAAAAGTGTCTACAACTTTTCCAGTTACCAATATTTAGTAAGCATTATGTAAATACTGTCCTGTCAACATGAAAAATATGAAAGCAATTTCTTCAAAAAAAAAAATGTAAGTTTTCCCACATTACTTAGAAAACACTTAAAAAGGCAGGAAACAAATTTTTAAAAGAGAAATGTAGTGATGCTAACCAAAAGGTACTTACATCTGTGAAATCACTTTGCTTTTATGTTGCATTCCTTTACCCCAACATTTATTGGTATTTAAGTGCATTTAGACTATAAGCTCTTTAGAGCACGGACAGTCTCTACTAGGAAAATGACCCATTTCTGATAATGCTCATCAGTAACTGGTTCTCCTCAAAGGGTGTTAAGATTATTTGGCTTCTAGTAAAGTTGAAACAAAATCATTTTCAGCATCCTTACAGAAGGAATGAGATGCAGCGTTCCATCAGGGCTCTAACACGCTCATAATAGTTACGTAAACAGTTTTGACCTGTCTTTAGTAGCAGCTGACTAGAGCACAGCTTTAAAAAAATCTGAATTACTTTTGAAATTCTGCATCCACACCCCTGCACACCGTACAGGTGTTAAATGTGTATGTCTAATGTCAAGCTACTGACTAAGGCCCTCATCCTTTAACTGCACCCACATCCATAGACTTCTGACTTCAACAGGGCTCCTTGTAGGCATAAGGGTTTGCCAGAGTGGATCCCTTTGCAAGATCTAGCTGTAAAAAAACCTAATTACTACTATGCTTAGCATAATTCTACAATAATTTTCACAAATCAAGTAATGTCCAATCACTATAGTTTTCTGAACAGCAAAAGTGTAAATACTCCCAAACTAGTTTTCACTGAGTTTCTGGAAAAAAGTGTTCACATTTAATCATAATAAGCCTTGATCATGGTAATAGTTAAGCAAGTGTTGAGGGGAATGGAAAGAAAGAAAGAAAGAAAGAAAGAAAAAGAGTACTTTATGACAAGATTGTATGTCATCAGCCAGAAGCTATGGGCTTGATGCAAGAATTACTGAGTGAAATTAACTGGTCTGAATTAGGCAGATAGTCAGATAAATCATCACAATGGTCCCTTCTGATCTTAAAAACCATTAAACAAATGTAGAACACAAGGTCAAGCCTCTAGAGTACATTAAAGGAAACAGTGCCTGGTGTCTCTGAGATGTTGACATTTCACCTTGAGAACAATGAACATACTTAAAGTTTTGCACACATGCCTAGTGTTATTAAACATAATGAAAACACCGACAGTGATGTTTTCCCCCCAATAAAACTACTAGACAGCAGCATATTGAAGCCCAAACTACAAAATGACCATTTCAGGAAAGAGGCCTGGCTTCCTTATATTCCTTCAAATCAGCTGCTGATGGATTACAGCACAATTAAACATCAGTGATCAGGCCACATTCTCCAAAGAGACTCAAAATTTTGCAATAACTTCAGCAAGAAATACACAAACAGATCACAGTCTTCGTTTGATTGCTGAGAAGGTGCTCATCTGTGTTACATGCAAGGTATTAAGTAACAAGAACATGGAGTTAAGCACCTGTTTTGGCAGCTTTCAAATGATAAGATACTGGCAATTTGGTTATCAGATACCAGAGCAGGCTATTTACATAGCTCCTCCCCTTGCTTTTGGAAAGTGATTCACTAAGAATAGCCCTCCTCAGTGAGAGGAGGGGAGAGAAAACTGGGTTTTGGAAACATCTGCAGGATAAGGATACAAGTATTCATTGTTTTTTGTAGCCACACCACAATCACTTTTCTTTAAAAAAAGAACCCAACTCCACTGTTGAATAGAGCCAAAAGTCACAGTTACTTGGAATAAACCTTGAAGCTTTTCATCAGTACTTACATTTTGTCGGTCTCCAGTTAAATGGGCGAACTCCACCATTTCATTTCCAAACTGACTGAATATTTGCACAAACTCTTGAAAACTACTCACTTTCTCTAGCTGTTCCATTGTTGCAAGAACCTGTAATATGTTGAAGAAAATAGTTATGATGGCTATTTGTAACCTGTAAAACTGCAGTAGAGTAAGATAAAATTCCTAAAAGTGTAGAAAGTGTTGTGCAGAAGCTTCTAAAGCAGATTTTCGTACGTTTACATATTAAGCTACATTTTATCTATTAATGAATAGTAATTATTTACTTTCTTAATTTCATCTTTAACAAAGCATTGCAATAAAACTGCTCCTTTAGTAAATAGAGAAGAAGGAAATTTGACTAACAAATACTATTAGTCGAGAGACAGAGTGCTTGGATTATACAGATTAAATTGGGTCATGCAGGACCATTATTTCAAGAGGTGTTAGAAATGAAGGAAGAGGTGGTAAAAAGCTCTTTTCTTGTAGATGGAAAAATATTTTAATCATTCTGTTTCACTCAAAATATGAGACCCATTTGTTCTGAAAGCCAACAAGGATAAACATTTTATATTCCCTTTCCTCTCAGAACAAAACCATTTCTCCCAGTATCTGAAGAAATAAGTTTTAGAAGATCCAGTTTACCTACTTTAAAAAAGGATTTTCGAAGTCCAAGCATCCTATTTCAGCCCCGTGGCTGCAGGCTTCAGCCCTATGGGAGCATCGGGGCTTGTGGCTCTGAGCTTTAGCCCCACAGCTCCAGGCTTTAGCCTCACAGGAAGCACTGGGGCTTGGGGCACCATTCACGGGGCCCTACAACCCACCTGACGCAGCACACGGCCCCCCACCCTTGTTGAGAACCAATGGTCTACACTTCAAGCAGATTTTTAAAGAATCATAGAAATGTAGGGCTGGAAGGAACCTTGAGAGATCAAAGTCCAGCCCCTACACTGAGGCAGGACCAAGTAACCCTAGCCTAGTGGTCCCCAAACTTTTTCTACTCCCCCCCCAGAACCTGACGGGAACCCAGGTCAGGGCTGGGTCCATAGGCACAGCAGGGCTGGGCAACACTCCCCCCTTCCCCTCCATACCCCCTGAACGTTCCTCTGCACCATCCTGGGGCGGGGGGCCCTGCACCCCACAATTTGGGGACCACTGCCTTAGACCATCCCTTACAGGTAGTTTTCCAACCTAGTCTTAAAAACCTCCAATGATGGGGATTCCAAAACCTCTCTAAGCTTATTACAGAGCTTAAGTACTTTCATTAGGAAGAACTTTCTACATATATCAAACCTATATCTCCCATGCTGCAGATTAAGCCCTATCTTCTTGTCCTACCTTTAGTGGACATGGAGAACAACTGACCAGAGTCCTTTTTAAAACAGCCCTTAACATATTTAAAGACTTATCAGGTCCCTCCTCAGTCTTCTTTTCTTAAGACTATACATGCCCAGTTTTTTTTTTTTTTTTTAACCTTTCCTCATAGGTCAGGGTTTCTGAACACCTTTTATCATTTTGTTGATCTCCTCTGGACTCAGTGTTCCCTCTAATTTTTTCCATCCATTAGCAGAATGAATTTTGTTATGTGCAGCATCAATATCGAGGTAATGTGCAGATGTGTACCAGCAATAGACACAAAAAACCTATATATTTTTAAAGTTACCAATGGTACATGTGAAGGGGATCGTAAAGATTTCCCGGAATCTGACATTTAGGGCCAAATCCTCTGCTGGTGTACAGCCGCCAGGATGTCACTGGAACTACTTCGATTTACAGTAGCTGAGGATTTGGCCCTTCAAGTGTATCATATTAGAACAGCTTCCTTATCACTATTGCAGATGCACAGACTGAAGTCTTATGCACATAACAGGCTTTTCTGAAGAGCAGAAAACAATGAAATTCTATAATGTGCAACCCATATTTCAGGTTGCAGTTCCCTTTGCTCAGAATTTAATTTAGTGGCTGGCCGTGCCCGGCTGAACCTAAACTGAGACTCCTCACCCAAAGGAAATGAAAACTCTATGGTGTCTTGAAGGTATTTTTTCTTTGGTTAAAGGTAGTAATTTGTGGTATTTCACAGTTTTGTATAAATCTTGGTTTAGGATGTGGCTCAGACTCAATAAGGTATATATTTTTGGCAGATAAAATACTGCTTATCCCCATAAATCACATGTAAACAGAGGCACCGCAGAACAAAGAATAGAAACATTTAATTGCTGTAATTCAGGATCTCCCTTAGGAAAAAAAAGATTTCATGTAAATTATCCAATTACTATCTTCATGGTTCCTGTCTGACCTATAAAACAGGTTATTAGATGACTGTAGGCGCCGCTCAGATGAAAGAAAGCATGGAGGTGTGTGAGTGTGTGTGTTTAACTTAACTGAAGCAATATATATGTGTTCTGTAATCCACAACTGAACACCCTAAAGTCTGTCAGTCGCAAAATTGCGTGGTAGAAATATTTAACAAACACCACATGTGCAATGCACATTATTGATATATTTCAGAGTAGCAACCGTGTTAGTCTGTATCCGCAAAAAGAACAGGAGTACTTGTGGCACCTTAGCAGGGCCGGCTCTGGCTTTTTTGCCGCCCCAGGCAAAAAAGCCTCCGGCCGCCCCCCGCCCCGCGGGGGGGGGGGGGGCAGCCGGCCAGAGGGGGGGGGCGGCCGGAGCCCCGGTGGGGGCTCCGCTCTCCCCCCGGCGGCCGGGGGGAGGGCGGCCGGAGCCCTGGGAGGAGGGCGGCGAGCCCTGGCTGGGGCTCGGCTCTCCCCGGGGGCCGGAGCGCCGCGCTGCCCCCCTCCAGGTGCCGCCCCAAGCACCAGCTTGGGTGCCTGGTGCCTGGAGCCAGCCCTGCACCTTAGAGACTAGTCTCTAAGGTGCCACAAGTACTCCTGTTATTATTGATATATTCCTACGTCGGTGCTGCCAGATCTGAAATGTGTAACGTCTGGAGGCCTGGCTGCCTATACAAAGGAATAGCGCTACTCAGGATAATTTATTGGGGAACTACAGAAAAGTGAAAGCGAGAAAAATGCCTGCCTGAGCTGGCTGGGGTTTATGTGGTGATAGGTTGGCATGTGTGTGTTTAGAAGGAAACTTGGACATCTCTCAGAGGTGAAGCACTCTCCATCTGGAGAAAGTGACCGGGAGATTTGATAGTGCAAGTGACCAGGAATGGACCATTTGTCTGTAAGAAGGGAATCCAGCAGGGTCCTGGACACAGGATTAGGGGAGCCCAGCAGAGGGGGGTCCTGTACGATTTATCTTACATCTGTTATTGTGATATCCAGAGAGATCGGGTGCCAAGGAGGATGCTGCAGGGCAGAGGCAAAGCAGAGATTTTGTGCGTGCGTCTCTGCTGCGGGTGCGAGCACTTTCTGAGAGCGAGCTTGGTGGAGCTGTGTGTGGGTGAGCTCCTGTATGGGTGCAGTCAGGAGCCTTAGAGGGCAGAAGGGACTCTGTAGAGAAGAGGCCTCTCTCCCGTCCCCACCGCAGCCCTGGAGCTGGGGGACAGGTGTCTCTCCTCACCACAGCCCCAAGGCTTGGGCGAGGTGTCACCCCACCATAGACCTGCATGCCTCATGCTCCCCCATCACTATCCCCCACCTCACCCACTGCCCCCCACCTCACCCTACGCTCCACTGTGGCTACACCCGTATGCACGCGCCTGTAGTAATCAGGTCCGTGGACCTTGATGGCCTCCTGGGCGGCCACGCAGGCGCGCACCTTAGAGGGAACAGTTTGGACTTTCTTGGACTTGTCCACATGCTAAGCAGCAGTTCTCCAGAAAAGGACCTGGGGATTACAGTGGACGAGAAGCTGGATATGAGTCAGCAGTGTGCCCTGATTGCCAAGAAGGCCAACGGCATATTGGGCTGTATTAGTAGGAGCATTGCCAGCAGATCGAGGGAAGTGATTATTCCCCTCTATTCGGCACTGGTGAGGCCACACCTGGAGTATTGCGTCCAGTTTTGGTCCCCTCACTACAGAAGGGATGTGGATAAATTGGAGAGAGTCAAGTAGAGGGCAGTGAAAATGATTAGGGGGCTGGGGCACATCACTTATGAGGAGAGGCTAAGGGAATTGGGGTTAATTAATCTGCAAAAGAGAAGAGTGAGGGGGGATTTGATAGCAGCCTTCAACTACCTGAAGGAGGGTTCCAGAGGATGGAGCTAGACTGTTCTCAGTGGTGGCAGATGACAGAACAAGGAGCAATGGTCTCAAGTTGCAGTGCGGGAGAGGTCTAGATTGGGTATTAGGAAACATTATTTCACTAGGAGGATGGTGAAGCACTGGAATAGGTTACCTAGGGAGGTGGTGGAATCTCCATCCTTAGAGGTTTCTAAGCCCTGGTTAGGATGATTTAGTTGGTGTTGGTCCTGCTTTGAGCAGGAGATTGGACTAAATGACCTCCTGAGGTCTCTTTCAACCCTAATGTTCTATGATTCTATTCTATGATCTTTCCTAAAGTGTGGTACCGAGAACTAGATACAGTACTCCAGCTGAAGCTTCACCAATGCCAAGTAGAGCAGAACAATTATCTCCCACCTCTCACATACAAAACTCCTGTTAATACATCCCAGAGTGACATTAGCCTTTTTGCAGCTGCATCACATTGATGACTCATACTCATGATTCACTATAAGCCCTCAATTTTTTTCAGCTGTACTATTGTCTAGCCAGTTATTCCCTATTTTGTAGCTGAGCATTTGAAGTACTTTGCTCGTCTTTACTGAATTTAATCTCGTTGAATTCAGACCAATTCTCCAACTTGTCAAGGTCATTTGGAATTTTAATCCTGCCCTCCAAAGTGCTTATAACCCCCTTCCCATATCAGTGTCATCTGCCAATTTAATACTTCTTTCCATTAATGAAAATATTGACCAGTACCAGACCCAAGACTGGCCCCAATGGGACTTCACTAGATATGCCCTCCCACTTTGAAAGCAAACCCTTGGTAACTACAGTTTTATGGTCTTTCAAGCAGTTGTGCATCTACCTTATAGTAATTTCACGTAGACCATATTTCTCCAGTTTGCTTATGACAAGGTCATGTGAGATTGTGTCAAAAGCTTTACTGAAAATCAAGATATATCCAGTGTACTACT